GACCAAAGTCCCCTTCTCCCACCTGTATAAGTCGCCGTGAATACACATGATGTCTACAAGGGAGGTACGGCGGGTGAAACGGCTCCGGAAGCATGACCGCCTGCCCGCACCGTACCTAACGTGCGCGCGTGCAGACATGCATGTACTGTATGTATGTATGTATGACAGACGGTATGCTAGGCGAATCTCCTGAAATCTCAAAATCTCCGTGTTTACCATGTGTGGGGAAAAGCCTTCTTTTTCCTTTTCCTTTTCCTTTTCCTTTTCCTTTTCCTTTTTTTTTCCACACGGATCGCATGATGGAGCGTGGGGGTTGAGGCAATTTACTGGGGGTGATGATGGATGCTCGGGGATAGGGAGGGGAGTTGGGGATTAGGGCATCGAATGGAGTCTGGAAGGGTGGATTGGTCGGCGATCTTTCGAGGGATCGGATGGCTATATATCGTGAGTGGTTGGTGGGTGCTATCCTGTGAAGTATAGTACCGTTGGGGGTCGTATTAGCACTAGTATGTGGGGGTTCTTCTGGAAGGCTTCGGAGTATGGTTCGAGGTGTTTACAAAGTGCACCGGATTCCAACTTTTTCAAATTTCGATAGACTCTGCAACCATGAAAGTAATTTAACCCCCCCAGCCACTATCATCCTTCTTCTCCCTATTGCCTAGGGTTTTCTTTTTGAATTAGTCTCGTGGTTGTAGAAGCTATCGAGTTTGAAAAGTTGTTACCCTAGTGCCCGTTCGTAAACCGCTCGAACCATACCGGTATCACGCAAAGGAGAATCTTGGGCATGGGTGGGGGGCTGGAAATTCTACACCATAGGTATGATAGATTGGTCTTGAGCAAGGCTTGTTGAACTTGTCCGATGTCGAATCATAATAAATGAGTTTTCTAGGGCCAGGTATGCTAGGGATGTCAGGGCTTCCTGCCTTACCGGGGGTTCTCCACGGCAATTACCAGATTGAATTTCGTCCGCCCCACCGCACACACAAACAAACCCCTCCGGGGCTGTCAGACCTTGACCATCCATTCCTGGGTACGATAGATGTTTCATCACCCAAATTCGTTGCCGACTGCACAAAGGTGGTGGGTACAGTACCTGCCTGCGCACTAACTCATGGATGAAAAAAAATTGGCTGGCAAATTACAAGTATCTTGGCGCATCTGAGTGCCCATACTACAGTAGCGCAGTACCAAACCCAGACTCAAGCGTTTGAGTATGATACCGGTACTCCCGTACCGGATACTTCCGCTGCTTACCACGGTACTAGATAACTTATATAGGGTTTATATTATACAAGAGACATACGATACCTGTCGTCGAGATCTGACGACAGGGGCTAAACCTGGGCAGGCACGAGCTGTCTATCAGAGTCCAACATCTATGATAGATACTCAGCCCCCACCCTTGCGTCGGGATTGTTCACCATGGGATAGCCTCCCCCACTGCCTCCCTTCACCGCACTAGGATAGATTCATTCCGGCTTTCCAGCCCTTGATTTGAAGTCTCTAAAGATGTCAGCAAGGAAATGCCATCTTTGGCGCGATTGTGGCGAGGGAAATGAGTATAGATAATAAGGTCACGGTGTTCCGGTTGATCTAATATACCACCCCTGATGCTGAATAGGTAGTATCATACGAAGAGTGAAGCGTTTAATTAAATACCATTAGGGGTTTATCCTAACAAATATTGAAGGAGGTATCAGAGTTATACAGGGAAGTTCAATCACAAAATTATCCAGCCATGTATAATGTCCTCCCCAGGCAGTTGCTGTATATAATTCGTCCCGACTTCGCATGGTTTAGGTGTTCAATGGTACTTCTGCTGATGCGAACGCCGGATCAGCTATGATAGTCAATTTCCCTCTTTCCCAACTCAACCGCAAACTCATTCAATGCGAGTCCCGGCTGAATTCTATTGTTACTTGTGGAATTCGGGTTTCGTTATTCAATCCAGCAAGCCCGTATTAGAATTCCACTACCCAGATTGGAATTCTGCTCTATGATATGTTATGTTATGATATCAGCTTTTTTCAAACCGAATCTTATCCCCAAACCTAACCTGTAGTCGAGTACATGCTCGAGATCTATGATAATATTATCATAATATTATCATAATACTTGTAATAATATTATCATAGCTAGAGTTGCTAGGGCTTCGCCCTAATAACCTTCACCGCTACGAAACTGCCACTGACTAAAAAACCACACAGGCAGGGGGGTGAAATGAGAGCTCTTAATTTGAACACGAACTGTTGGAACTAAGTACAAAGAAAGGCTCTGATTCATTTCCGAGGCTCTACGATTTAAAGTGACAGCGTTCTATAGGAAAGGGGCGGATTGGAGTCGTTATGCTGAATCGGCCAAAGAGGTCAGTAAAACGAATCCGCAATCTTTGCCTTGATTTCGTAGAGGTCCAGGATTCCTCCTTTGGATCAGGAGGAAAGAAACACAGCGAAAAAAACTATCTTCGAACCCTCAATTGCGGCAGATAAAAGGGAATATGCCATCGACCTTACAAGGAGAGGCAATTACAACGTCCTAGCGAGAAGACAGTTTATTTCAATTCTACGGTAATGCGTCGTAATCGTCATAAATCTTAGAACTTATCATAGGATGGGATATAAAATTAATCTGCTTCCACCCGCGACCCTTTCCCACTATTGACGTATCAAGACGGCACCAAACCAGAACTAGACTCACAGGAGTACTAAACCTAGAAATTCAATTCACTATTCTACCCAATTCACCCTAGTTTAAACCTCTGCGCACATTCATATACCCCCCCCCTTCGGGTTGTTGGTGCTGTTGCCGGCCCAAATGTTCTCCGCCTCTCAAGAGCGAAGGGTAATTTTTGCCAGGCTCTAGGGAAAATCAGTATTCGGTACAGCACGCCTTACTCGCACCTTCCGGAGCGCGAAATAGAGCCATCCGCGAACTCGTGGAGATGGCTCCCATGAAGTGTGGAAATACCGGTACTTGAAAGAGGGATTTCGGTCCCCAGGGTCGAAGCAGCGTTTTTTTGCGAGCACTGTGCCAAATTTCCAGTTGACCTGCAAGTCTTTTATGCTAATAGGCGTTTCACGCATCAAAGTCTTGTAACCTGTTGAAATGCTTGTATACGCTGAGCGTTTCTCGGCCCCGGGATGAATACTTCTAATATTCATCGGGTTGGGTTTCATTGACTTGCAACACTTGCTTTTGGCTTTTGGAGATGTCACTTACTAGCGTGTGCTTGTTGCTCAATGTTTAATTAATATCATACCTAATTCCTGAGGAGGTCCCTCGCCTCAAATCCCATTGGACCGCTGTATATCCAACGTATAGTTGTTCGTACAGGTATCATACTGGCCACTTAAATTTTTAGGGCTACAAATCCACTATTGTGCGCTATGGCTTATGGTAGCTTTCTACGATAATAGCACAGTACGGTACAGGTATCTATCTTTGCACTGTGCCCGACTACAAGTGATGTCTTCGAATCCGAAAATGTTGATATCGCTCTCAGGTTCTCTTCAGCAATTGATCTTAATAATGATACTGCCACCTTTTCCTCAAAATTTTGGCCCTCGCACCGATACTCCTAGTAGTGGGCCCTTGTCGCTTCAACCAAGGTATGATACCATTTTACGTTACGATGCCGTACCGGTGTGGGAGGTTTTATATTTTATTCCCTTAATTGGATGGTGTGTCGACCAAGCATGCACCTTGTGGCTACTATTGCTCTGTGACCTGACTGATAACTTGGAATCAAATCACACAGTAAATAGACCAACACAGACAAAGTAAAGGGGGTTGAAGCTGAACCTGATTTAGATAGGCACGCACCGCTATCTAAATGGTTGTTGTTGAGTGGTGGTTGAGCTTGTCTAACTAAGAAGACCAGCTCCCAGTTTAAATACAGGAATGTGTTCATGCCAAGGCATGCACAAAGACAGGAAATTCCATGGGGTAAAAACCTCATGGCTCCCAGACAATACCCTATTAACTCAATCTCCCCTCCACACCGGTACTATCAGTAGAAACTGGAATAATTGGACCTCGCGCTAAGACGTCTAGAATTCCCCTCTTTGGATAAAGTGGGGCTATCAGAGCGAAAGATAGGAAAAAAAAAAAAGACTTTCAATCCTCCGCTGAAACAGGTAGAAAGGAAAAACACAACCTACAAGTACTCGTACAGTGCCCTACCAGGAGAGGTAACTCCAACACCTTACTTGTAGCTTGAGGTCCAGTTGCTACGATAGCCCACCTGATAAGACTTTCTACCCCACAACAGCCATTGCTGAGCGATATTATAAGCCTACAGCAGAGAGAAATTCTCCCTGGGTATGATATCAAAAAAAAAAACCACCATCCATCGTCTCGTCAAAACTCCTAATTTATGTCTCATACTACGGGAAGACAGTTGACACCAACTCCCAAACAACACTCGCCAAGTAAAAAAATATATAAAAAAATGCTGGAACCCACTAACACCATACTTGTACTGTACGTAATTCGCTCATTCATTCGTTCTAGAATCTAGTCTAAATCCCACCTTCCTAACCAGCCCGTACCACGATGATCTCCCCCCTCTTCACAACGATTGTTGGACCAACGACGGAAGCCCTGCAGGATCGGCTGTCGATCTGGGTTTTACTAAAAATAGACACTCCGGGGAAGAAGGCCTCACCTTTGCCCCTACAATCTTAAGTTGAACCGCCTGCTGTGGTCTACTCCCATCGCGTGCTACGATACCGGTATGAGAGGGAGTGAAGGGAGAGAGGGAGTGAAGGAAGGGAGGGAGGGAGGGAGTGAGAGTGAGAGAAAGAAAGAAAAGGAAGGGGGGGTGGGCCTGAGGATCGGAATGGAGTGACCATACCAGTATGCCATACCGTATTATGGCAGAAGTATTGTGAGACACTCAACATCCAGCATCACAGGGCCGTTATAGTAATACAGCCCCCTCCCGTCCCCTCCCGTCCCTCTACTAGGCAATCGGTAGGTGAATAAAACCACCCTCCCATCCCACAACTCGCAAAAGATTATAAAATCATTTTCGCTCATTTTTTTATCCTATTCCATGGCGCCATCTGCGGCCTCCAACGTCTCCAACAGCACCAGCACCAGTAATACCAGCAAAACTAATGCCGCCAAGCCCACAACGCCAATCCCACCCCTGGAGGCGGGCCACTTGGAGAGGCTCGAGGCACCCCTCGCCGACGTCCCTGGCATCGCGAGGGCTTTCGAAGTGATATACCACAACCTCGCTCTGACAGCCTCAGACCAGTTCCTGCCCACGCCCATCCGTGCGCTGCCGACCGGGGAGGAAAAGGGCAGGTTTCTAGCGCTTGACCTTGGTGGCACGAACTTAAGGGTTGCGGTGGTCTGGCTATACGGGGGGAGCAGGTTGAAGGTTTGCACACGGGGGAGCTGGGGCATTCCCCAGCATTTCAAGACTGGGGCTGCCGAGGTGTTATTCCGCTGGGTCGCGGACAGGATTGGGGATGTCGTTGGGGAGTATCTGGGTGATGTGGGGAGCGAGGAGAGGGAGAGGGTTCTGTCTGAGGGGATGGAGTTGGGGGTTACTTTTAGTTTTCCGATGGAGTATGTTTCGCTTTCCTGTTTGTCTATTTTGAAGGCTTTTCACTGACGGAGGTTGAGAGTAATCTTAGGCAAACTGCTCATGATTCGGCTCTTTTAATGCCAATGGGTAAAGGATTCACTTTCACGACCACCAACGACCTCCCAAGCCTTTTAAAAACGGCCTATGACGACCTCCTCTCCACCACCACTCCCGCATACCCCCTCCCGAAGCTAGACATCCTATCCATAACCAACGATTCCATTTCAACCCTCCTCTCAGCAGCCTACCTTCACCACTCCACGGAAGACACTCGCGCAGTAGCAGGCATCATAGCAGGCACAGGGACAAACGCAACTTGCCTCTGCCCCGTCTCCAAACTCCCAGTTTTGAAGCAGCCAACATCAGGCCCAAACACGGACGCCATCCTACTAAACACGGAATGGAGCATCCGCGGCACCGCGCCCCCGCTGAAACCGTACATCACCACCTGGGACGTGCAACTCGACCTCGAGAACGAGAAACCGGGATTCCAGCCCTTCGAGGAAATGGTCGGGGGGAGATATCTCGGCGAACTGGTACGCCTCGTGTGTTTAGATCTCTTCTCCTCCAGCGTACCCAAATCGCAACTCCCAGAAAAGATGAAACTCCCCTACGGCCTTGACACAAAACTCTGCAGTGACGTGGAAGCTTCGGTAAACGACGATGAAGCACTCTCGCTACTACAGGATTACTTCGACCCAGACACCTCTTCATCCACCTCCTCCTCCACCGCCACCACCACTGCCGCCACCACCGGCGGAGACCTGGAAGAGTGGAAGTGGGACCTACCCTCCGCCGCCAGCTTCCGCCGTATATCAGCCGCCGTATCAACTCGCGCCGCAGCACTCATCGCTGCAGCCACGATCGGCGTACTCGGCGTCAACGATGAGCTGAAATGCCACGTCGAGAAGGAAGTGCTCGTCTGCTACACCGGCACCGTACTGGAACAGTACCCGACGTTCAGAGAACGCTGCGAGGGGTTCATGATGGAGGTTGTCGAGCGCTGGGTCGTCGAGGGCAGGATCCCACCCACCTCTAGCGGTAAGAGACGGGCCGTGAGACTGGTCGAGGCGAAGGATGGGGGCATTGTTGGCGCAGTAGTGTTGGCGGGGATGGTTAAAGAGGGGAGAACTTGATCTCTTCTTCCTGCTTCACTCCCCTTTGGAAGGCTTTTTCTTCCCCCCCCCGTATTATATAAGTTAACCCTCTCCTTTTCGTAACGGGACTGGTATCGGGTGCATACGGCGCTCTGGTATGGTATGGTATGATAGTAACATAACCCTGTTATGCCATGCACTAAGGTAATTATTCATTTTTGCGTGGTGGGTTGGGATCGATCAAGTTTATGTTCTGATAGCCATAGGGTTCTTTTCTTTGATGAGTTTTTTTTTCTATTGGTTTTGGAATTTGCGTGCGCATGTTTTTTTTTTGCTCGGAGCGGGAATGTGCAATGAGATAGATTATGACTTTTCAGTATTATACCTCTTTTTTTCCCCCACTTACCGGGGGGTCTACTCGCTCTTTGTATCACGTTTGAACAATCGAGTCCCAGATTCCATGGTCCAAGTGCTTTCCACTACTAGGATAAACTACTAGATTCTCCTAAGATCAAGATCAAACACGGAATATCGGGCGTTAAGCTCAATCAAACCCGCAATCAAAAATCTCTACGGCCCAAAACCCACAATTGACAGATCAGAGCCCAGGCACACGGAGGTCGATGGGGGCCCAGGGGGCAACTCGAACGGGGTTGGACTTATCATACAGGTTTAGACGAAAAATTATTAACAAGACCAGACACACCCTTCCGGATCGCAAAGAGGCCCTGTCCACGGTCCAAATGCAGAAGTGGTCAAAGAGAGAGCTGGTCAGTGGGTAAAAAAAAAAAACTCAATTGCAAACAATAGTAATATTGACACCCAGAGGTAATCTAACAAGAACGATGAATAAACGCCTTCCACCGAATGAGTAACCCACCCCCACGACATCCTGTACAATTAAAAAAGGGAAACACATAACACCTTTTTCCGACCTGCCGTAATGCTCCGAACATAAGAGAGAATGAGAATTCGGAATACAAGGAGGGGGTATCGCTCTATTCCGAATTTGAGGGAAAGGGAAGAAGGGTGATAGGTGCGCCACCCCCCATCACCCGACACCCGCGCTCGAGATTCAGGGCCTCAAGGCCGCGATTATCACCACTCCACTCAAAATGGAGGGATTGACGTTCTGAATCTTGTCGCAGGAAATCGAGCTCGGGGAGCATGCGATGGACCCTGGCTCTCGATTTTTGGGAGCTCACATGAGCTGCCAACGCGTTTTCAAAACGCTGGCCAAGGTTATATCTTTCCACCAGGTCCCGCTTATCCACAGAATTCATGATCGGGGTGCAGGGCACCGTCGGCGGGGTGCTTGGGGTCGAATTGTCGGACATGATGAAGGAAGAATTGGATGATGTGGAGTTGGATCTTGAGGCGCTTGCCTCGAGCTTTGCAGGACAGCATTCAAGCCGGGGAAGAGCGCAAAGAAAGCTTTCGGTGACGACTGCAGCGCCATTTTCCACCCCCTCTATGCCCTCTTCCTCTTCCTCCTCATCATCATCACCGTCATCATCATCGTCCTCCTCCTCCTCCTCATCGTCATCATCGTCATCATCGTCGCTATCCTCCTCGTCCGATTCCTCATCAGAGTGATCAGACTCTTCATCCGAACCATACTCCGAATCCCCAGAACCGTAGCCAAGCCCATCCTCCCCTCCGTCATCCTCGATCTCCCACCATTCTGGGCCATCCTCCACTTCTACTGGTACTTCCACTTTATGACTGCCCACCCGCTCTTTGCAGGGTTCGAAATATCGACGACAGCAGTCTAATTTACACCAGGAGTAAATTTCCTGACCGTCAGGGGTCTTACTTTGTCCAAAAGCAGAGCCACTAGGTTTCACCGCATTATCCTCTCGATTTGAAGGGGTATATTTCCCTTTCCAGCCACGCCAAAGATACCCTTTACCAGTCTTGATCATATGAAAGAATTCCTGGTTGACATCAAATATATGGCCAGCAGCGAGGGACTCGACGGGTTGGACAATTATCTCGGGGAGATGGGTTCTGCCTTTCTCGAATTTCGAATGAATGGCGGCAGACGGGTTCAGGAGAAAAGTTGGGCTCTGTGTAAATATTAGTATATGCGTTGACAATAGGAGGAAATACAAGATCCCTGGCAAGCGAGCCCACTGCGTAGCGAGAATGCCCGTGCAAACGACCAGTCTCATAAAAAGTTGTATGGGCATTCCCGCATCACTGTGCTCTCGCTTTCCCTGGGCTGCACTGTGATCTTACCTTGAAGGCTCCTAGACCGCATTCGGTTATCAACCGTCGATTTAAAAGCAGCATCTTTTCATATTCTACGATATGAATTTGAGGATGTTGGGTCTAGCTACATCAGTGTATGATACAATCAATGGTAGGAGGCATAAAACTTACTATGACGGGACCCAAGGAGTTACAGGCTGGAGCAGCAGGCGCGCCCATCTGCTCAGCAGAAATTGTAGCAGACAAAGCTGCGAAGAAAATGGTTTCTTTGAAACCGTCCATTAGGACAAAAAAAGATGATTTTCCCGCTGGGGGGAATGGTCCAGGGTGGACAAGGGAACGAAGAAAGGTTTCCATCTTGGAAGAAAAAAAAGTTGAGGCTTGAAGACACGAGAAAGAGGTGATCGTATCGGGATTTTTTTTTTTGCAAGAGATAAAATTGCAAGCGCTTCGAACCTGTTGTGTTTGGTGGGTGGAAGAGGGAGAGGGTAGAGAGGAAAGGTTATTTAAATTGGTCGGTGGTGAGGAGCGGGATGGACGTAGGGCTCTTTTTTTCTACACGCGCCGAGTTTTTTGTTTGACGTCGCGATATTGTATTTCGGTGAAATAGAATGCTCCACAGGCCTCAGTGAGGAGAGGTCATAGGGCAAGGGTGGGGCCTAACACAAAACGGGCTGATCGTGACAGAGAACCGCGACGTAAAAGAGTCGTAGCTTCCTTCTTTCAACAATAGACGTGTACCAAGCGGTCGTAATAAAATAGGACCCTCCATGATGGAAAACGGATAAGGGGCCACGATGTCTCGAGAACGAGCCATCAATCTACCGAACAAGAGATGGGGCAACCATGGCTGGAATATTGTGTGGAAAAATAGGGGAAATCTTGTTATCTTCTCTGGGGATGTAGTTCTCTGCTGCACAGTCCATCGAAAAAGTATTTCTTGGTACCGGTAGAGTTGTAAGAGAGGGTTCGTAAAGTTGTAGTAGATTCGATCTGAGGTTGATCGGGGGGCAAACGGAAGAAAGGAGGAGGAGGAGAGGAGAGGCGGAGGAAGAAATGGAGGCATTAAGTCTCGTTTGACTTGGGGCGGAGGTTTCCTGACTGGGCCGATTGAGAACAATGAATTTGAAACTAATTTGTCATGCGGGTATTTTACGGAACGTTCATAGCACTTGTGAGACCCGTCTCCATTGCCTAATCCCGGGAAGACCGGCTGAGGGCAGGATGGGTCAGACTCAGTCCAAAAGCAGGCCACAATGAGTTCTGATCCACTGGACTCAGTTCTAAAAACAGTTATTCTCACCCCGTCCCTGACCTAAATATCCCCTTTCGGAAATTTCTACTTTTTCCTATGATACCTGAATCACATTTTTCACTCCATTTTTCTTCCCACCCCTTCGTCACATGTCCCCTTTTATCCCGATTTTCGTTTCCAAGAGAACGTCTCCTTCTCCGGAAGGTGGGGCAATTCTCCTCACGTCATCAGTACGATAATATAACTGGATTTTACTGGGATGGGCTGAATTGTTCCCTGAACAGCGTGTTCTTCCATACAAAAATTACCCCTCCTTCACCCACAACGAGAAGTTTAACTGGCTGTTGGCGATCGGTTAGTTGAAATATATTATATTAAGATCGGTCATCCTCCTTCAACCACAGTTGTCAATACCAGTACCTCAGATCCATAGGGCAGACTTAAATTTAACTACTCGAGTAAGCCGAACGCACTCGTTTAGTTTCTTATCCTCTATGATGCTGTGCTCGAGCAAACTGCTACCCTGAAGTTTAAGCTAACCTGCACCAGGGTCCGCCAGTCAGGCCGACTATGTAAGCACGTAGATTGTCCGCTTTTCTATTTGTCAGCTAGTTTTAACCTTCAGCCTACTTGTCACGTGCCTTACAGGTGTTTTAAAAGCGCGTTGATTGTTACAAGTATCGACGCCAGAAGTACCAGTACCCAAGTATCTATCAAGGGAATTGTAGGTATTGAGAAGGGCTCACATCTCATGCATTGCCAAGGGTCTGGGTATGAATCTCAGGAACAGCCCCTTTAGCCCCATTAAATGTTTCACCTATCGCACACATTGCAAGGAAAATACTGTAACCAAGTTGTCCCTTGTAAAGTACTAGTACTAATCGTGCCACGGTTGTGGCTTTGCAGCCACAACCCCCCGGCTGCTCACTTGCTCGCAACCTGGGGCACTCTTCCAGAGTGCCTGCCAGCTCAACATGACTTTACAGCTCAACACAACTTGTGGCTCAACAGAACTTTTTTGTGGCTAAACAGAACTTTTTTTGTGGCTCAACTAAACTTCACAATTCCACCACAGATACAAATTATTCTAATTTACACTTATTTTCCCCAATCTAACCAGTTTTTTAATACCTATAACAATTTGTTTTAATATTTTCTTCTTATAGGCTAAAACCTTTAGCCTATTTTTAACCTTTAATTTCATCTCATTAAGTAGAGGTTTGCGCTCCTCATGCTCCAACCGCTTCTTTGCATTCCAAGCTTTTTTTCAGCTATTTCTCTGCTTTCTCTATTTCTGCATCCTCTTGGCTTTTTGCTATCTGACGAGCTTGTGATGGATAAATGACCCTACCCTTTTGCACCTGCCATTGACTCTGTCCCTACTGTCTTACAGATCTTGCATATTCTGCTGTCCTAGTATGCTCCATGTACTCTATTGCCAGTGCACCTGACTGTGCTTGTACCAATCCACCTTGCAAAACTAATTTCAATTTTTTCTGAAATGTTGGTGACAAGTCTTGAGCATCAAGTTGTAATTCCTCTCCCATGTGCTTCAAGCTTCAGATAGTAACGGGAATAGTTGTGGATGATATTCGTGGAGGTGTAACGGGTTGCTGCAGAAGTGAAACTGCTTCACGTAACTTGGATATCACAATACTTGGATTGAATGGAATAAGTCCAGTTGCCTTAAAGGCAGATTTAATTGTAGAAGGTTTGAAGGTTTGTTGTCGGATAGAATCTATTGTGTCTAGAAATTCTATCTTGTCAAACTCTCCACAGCCAGTACGGGTTGCAGCTTCTACTGCTTCACTATGATAATGTTTATATGACTAAAAAACCACAACATCAAGAGGTTGGAGAAGATGACTGGTATGAGGAGGTAGGTAGAAGACAACAATCTTATGGCTATTATCGCAATTGAGGAACTGCTTAGTACAATGAGAGCCAAATCCATCTAAAAGTAATAGCCGATAGTTGGCTACTTTTCGTTGCAGAGAAAAGTAGTTGAAATGCTCCAGCCACTGTAGTGACAATGTATCATTGCTGTATCCAGTCTCTGAGGTTCCTATAAGATAATCATCTGGTATACTGGTTGTTGTATACTAGGGCTCCTGATGTATAACTCCTGGAATAATGATTATTGGGGGAAGGACTACTCCATCACCACTGATAGTCTTACAAACGGATATCAGCTCACGGTTTGTGGAGCTTCCAAGGTATGACTGTTGTGATAGGTCCCACGTAATTATCCACTGGTCCCGGCCTATACCAATTCTGAAGCCTGTTTCATCAAAATTGTAGCAGTCTTGGTTCTCAATACTGTAACCGGTACAGGTACTCAGTTATTGGTTTTGTTTTATGTTTTGTTTTATGTATCGCTTTGATACTTGGTTTGTTTTAAGTATCGTTTGATACTTGGTTTTGTTTTATGTTTTGTTTTAAGTATCGCTTTGATACTTAATTAGTTTTACCAAAGTGTATCAATTAATACCTTTGATTAGTTTCGTTCATGCTAGACATGAACAGATTTGTGTATTTAAAGACCGCCTGTTTCTACGATAGAAAAGGCAGACTTCGACAGACAGTATTTCAATATACTTGGTTGAACGGTTACTCTTTGTTTCTCAGTACACGCTCGAAGTCTCCTTTAGTTCTCAGCTCTTGCCTCCTCTCTGGAAGAGCAGGCCACCTGCCAACTATTGTATCTATAACCGAAAACGTGATTAGCACCTTGCTAACACGTTACATTTTTTTAACCTCAGCAAGGGGTTAAGAACCTGTCCCCGGATTTAGGCCTGATCAACCTATCGATATCCACCTCAGAACGCTAGCGGAGAGAAGCAGCAGAATTACGGCACATTCGGCTTCGTCTCAAATCCAAGATAGAGTCTTTGACAACCAGGGGTGGGAAGCAAATCCCATGACAAGACCTTACAAGAAACAAACAATCCCGGCGCTCTGCTAAAGAGCCGGGAGAACCCGCAAACACGGAAGACACACAACCTCCAGGAGAATTTCCTTCTACCCCAGTGAAGAAGCTATCCTTTGAACCTCCAATCAACCCTAAATATAGTAGCGAATCAGACATGGCTAGTACAGGAGGAGGACCTTCAGGAGGAGGACCTTCTGGAGGAGGAAAATCTTGTGCTCAAGAAGAGGAAGCACCCACAGCTTTTGAACCTCCTAAGTTCAAACTCCACCTCCCAGCAAAATTTACAGGTGAAGGAAAAGACCTCAAACCCGAAGCCTTTAACCAATGGGTGACAGAACTCTCACACTATCTCCTCCTGCAAGGGAAAGATGTGGAAGACCCTACAACTGGACTTTACATTCGATCATTCTGCGAAGGAAAAGCAACCGATGCATACCACCAATGCTATAAGGATTACAGTGGAAATGTAAGATTGAGAGAATCTACAGTCCTTGATTACTTGAAAGGCCGATTCCAATCCTCTATCACCAATGACCTCCTATACAACAAATTTAACCAGCTCCAGCAAGTTAATGGAACGTATGTCAACAGAATTACAGACGTAGCCACGGACCTACTGATGTATAAGGACTGAATGAAGATAGGAAGCATTTTCAATTACATCCTTAAGTGACGATTCTATGATACTATGCACCCTACCCTCCGACGAGAAGTAGAACCACTCGAGGAAGACAATGATGATATTGCAATAATAATTGTAAGAGCAGAGAGAAAGGACGCCATCCTCCATGAGACCAAGGCATACAAAACACAGACATCCTCTAGCAGGAATGGTCAACCATGATACAAACCCTCTATCAACTCTAAAGAAGACACACCACGGGTTTTCAAGAAGAAAACCAAACCCTCCAAAGAATCGAGAGGGCAGAAAGGAGAATGTTTTGAATGCGGAAAAACAGGACACATGGCAAAAAACTGCCCTACTAAGAAAAGGACAGGAAAGGCGATTAAACAAGAGGCATCGGCCAACAATATTGAGAGCGATAGTGATAATACCCAATCCAGCGAATATGAGGAAATCCATATTGGGTATATCGATGTGGAATGCAACAGTGTCCGACCTCCGGCTACATTTAAAGCACACACCACCCTGAAAGGAACTATTCTGATCAATGGTAAGAAGGCTTAAGTCCTATTTGACACTGGCGCAATTGGAAGAGACATGATCAGCAATGCCTTTGTCTCTGTCCATGGACTCCCTACCCGAAACCTTAACCAACCCATACCAGTTAATATAGCAGTAAAAGGGTCACGATCAACAAGCCATAAAACCTGTAGCGCAACTATCCGACTTCGTTCCACCATCCTATCCTCCCAGGAGATGCTAGTTGGAAACCTAGCCAAATACAATGCCCTCATAAGAATGCTATTCCTGAACCGCCACGAAACTATAATCAGGTGTGGGGAATCAACCATTGATTTCTAAGATCAGAAGGTCAGAGTCTCATGCAAGCCAACAAGCGGAGAGTACCGAGCCGCAGTCTGTGAAGCAACTGCCCAACGCCTATTAGATGAATACTCTGATGTTTTCCCTGATCAGATTCCTGAAGAACTACCGCCTATGAGAGAAGTGAACCATCACATCCGCCTCCGAGACCCCTCTAATCTTAAGAACCAACCTACCTACTCTATACCTGACACATACAAAGACCCACTATGTGACTGGATCAACTAACAACAAAGAAGAGGAGTCATCTACCGGGCAGAAGCCCCAGGTGCCGCTCCTATGTTGGTCCAACCCAAAGTAGATGGCAAAAGAATACGCCCCTTGGTTGACCTTAAACT